GTGAAAGACTTGGGGACTCCTGTAGAGATTTAGAGTTCTTTCTCTAAATAGATCTCTCCCCTTGTTTTCTCAGTTTTGCAAATTCCAACTACTGTAGACTCTAGATTTTATTTTCTGTCTCTTGAACTCAGCAGTTCTGAGGCTGGCTGCTTGGATTCCTCTTTCCCATGCTGCATTGTGGAAAGTGCTTCCAGAAGAAGTCAGAGCTGCTACAGTTCATCCTCTTCATTTCCCTTTGCTTGGGGAGCACAGTCTTGTCCTGGGTCCCAGTGTCTGAAAACAGTTGTTTCAGAGATTCTGACTGGCTTTCTCTTCCTGTACAGTAGAAGGGCTGATCTGATAATGGTGTATCATTGCCTAGAGTGGAGATTCGCTCATCTTAACACATCCAAAAACTGCAATTCTGGTCTTTCTCATAAGAAAGCTGTGCAACTCACAGCCTTCCTTATTTTAGCGGATGGCTTGTCTTTTATTTGCTCTAACCAGAATTCTTCATTCACCTCTGTAGTTTATGCTCCATTTCTGATCCTTCATAAAATCCTGTTGGCTCTACTGTTAAATTATGGAAGTCAAGTTGTATTTTTTTCTGCTCAAAACCTTACAGTGGTCCCCCACCTCCCTGAGAGTTGAGGCCTTATTCGATCTGACCCTCTGAATGTCTGTCACCTCCCTTGACTTATGCCCCCGACTTCATTCTCTTGCAACCTGGCTGATCTTTTTGCTTGTCCTTGCATGTGCCAGGATCACACCTGCCTTAGTGCATTTGCTGCCGCTGCTCCCTTTCTCTGGATGCCTGTCCCCCAGAGATCCTGTTCCCAAGTCCTTCTCAGGAAGAGGATCACAGCTGTTTTGTTCCACAGCTTACCTGTCACACAGTGCCCCTTGACCCACTTGCTGTGTTCTGCTTTTCCTTTTGCCTCCATAGTACTCGTCACCTCCTAATTTACTGTTATTATCTGTTACAGTTTACTATGAGTTTCCTCTTGCTGAAATATATGGTCTACAATGCCAGAGGACGTGTTTTGTTTTTTTTTTTAAATCTGTATCCCAAGCACCTAGAATGAATGGTACATGGGGGAGAGTAAGTCCTTAATAAACATGTGCTGAATGGTTGGTTGAATGAGTAAATGGAAGGACTGACTGTGTAGATGAATGAACACAGCTTGTTGCTGTCATCAGTGCTGTGTGCAATGGAGAGAGACACATGACTAAAATCCAGAAAGCCTGGTTTTTTTCAAAGGTTTGCCTATTTTTTCCCCCACACTGGGCATGTCCCTAAACAGTTATCTCTTTAGAATGGACCATGAAATTTCTGATGTGCCTTTTAGCTTTAAAATTCTACAGAAACCCTTCTTTTCCTTTGGGTTTGTCATGAACTTAGGAAAAGAAACATTTCCTTCAAGCCAGGAGAGACAGGGTAGGAAATGTGATGGTCTAATGACTGATCCTGATATCCACATGCTGAGTGAATGCAAACAAACTTTCTCTGAAACACTTTTCTTTTTTAATTTGTATTTTAATTTCTCACTGACACGTAGTAATTGCATATATTTATGGGGTTTCAGATTATCAGAAACCCTTTTCACCTTTTACATTCAACGTCAGAAGGCATATTAGTCCACATCTCCAGCTTTTTCTTTGGGCTTATTTGCTAATTTTGCCTAAAACAGTTCTCCCTGTCTGTTAGAAGATTCACCAGCCCCCTGGAAATCTGAGCCTGACCCCTCCTTGCCCAGATGCCTTACTCTGACCTGGGGGATTGTGCCAGAGGACCTCTGACCCTGCTCTAGCACACATTCTCTAAAATAGCAAGTGCAGCTCCAGTTTAAGAGACAGGCTCTAGAGTCCGACTGTATTTGCATATCATCTCTGCCACTTATTCTATAATCTAACGTACCATTTACTCATCAGTAAAAAGCATATCATAGTCCTGCCTACTCAATAAGCTGAGGCAGGAGAATTGCTTGATCCAAGAATTCCAGGCCAACCTCGCCAACATAGTGAGAAACTGTCTTAAGAAGAAAAAAGTGGTGGTGGGTGTGTCTGAGCCTATCTGTCTCTAAGGGTACTTAAAGCAAACTAAATGTGTTAAAATGAATGCAAAAGGCACATAGTAACAAGGCCTGGCACAGAGTAAGCCCCTGATAATACAGGCTAATATCATTGTCCTGATTATAGTACATGTTTGCTATTCTTATGAGGCAATGTATGTTTCTACTTAAATTTATTAAAGGCTAATTTTAAAAATGTTTCCATAATAAGGAATTCTAAGAGCTATTTCTTTACTTTTCTGACTCTGTTCATGTTTGTTCTAATTTTATTATTCTGTAGTGATCGGACTGTGAGAATCTGGAAGGCTCACAATTTGCAAGATGGTCAGAGCTCTGACACAGGAGGCCTGGGGGAAGATGTTCCCAGTTATTAGACACAGATGAAGAGAAATCATAAACTGATACTGTGATTAATATTCTGTATGTTCTTTGTGGGAAATGTTGTCCTGTATTTATTAGGCAAAAACTTATGAGTGGGATTAACTGGAAAAAGTATCTGAATCCAGCTGCTAAATATAAATGCTATTCTAATGAAATTCTGTACTAGCCTGTGTGCTTAATTTAATATCTATCAATAAATATGTACCCTATAATTGAAATATGGCTCGATTCACACTTTCATTGTGGCTGCATTTTTGTGCCTCGCTAAAATGACTCCTTCAAATTATTTGAATTATAACATGTCTGCTTTTGTGACAGAAAACACACCTGGAATATAATGCAGCTCGCTGTTAGCTCTTTCCTGTAGTCTGTTCAGATGATTTGCATATTTAAGCATATTGGAAATATTAGTCAAATTGTGGTCTGTTGTCAGGTATTTATCTCAGTCTATAGAATGTTTCCAAATTTCAAAGCACTTTTAATATAATGGAAAACTAAGGAGAGTATTATTGATTTCTCATAAAATGAAAGTGACCTGAATCTACTAACACAGAATGTTTAACAGTTTGTGTTAGATATGGCATTTACTCACACTCAGCAAAGTTTGCAGCCATGCTAGATTCTGTGCTCAGGACTAAAACACTGTTGGATTGTTGTTTTATTAGTGCTGTGCATACATTTTGTGATGGTAAACATTTTTGATGTCCTAACAAAGATATTTTGATCTATTTTCCTATGGAGTTGTTTCTATTATTACCTTTTAGTTTCTCTTTTAATTTAATAGTCATATTTCCTTTCCCTTTTGTCTAATTTTTATATGCTGCTAAATATATTTTAAATACACCATGTTTGCAAACTTTGGTAGCTATGATGGGAATTACTATCCTCTATGGTGGGGAAGGCTATATAAATGGGTAGATTGTAAAGAAAGATTATCTTGTTTGTGCCTGTATGAATTTTTAAATGCTGTAGATGGGATTTTGCAAAAGGATGTATAATTTATGTCTGCTCAGAACATTAATTTGTAAATTCTGCAAGTTTAATTTTTATGTAGATAGCATATTTGAAAATATCGTCCTTTGTGATTCTTCCTTAAAAATATTTGCTTGTAAATCAAAGCTTAGCTTGTGCTTAAATAAACATGTTGCTATGAATTATTTGTATTCTACTGTTCTTTTCCTAATCATAAGAAAATGGCAAATAGTGGTAAAACTGCTTGATCTGTGTGATATAAGGAAAGGCATTGTACTCAGCAGAATGTCTTTACTTGCTAGACGTGAAATTCTTAAAAGTTTAAACTAGCTTCATCTTGGGGAACTATAGTATCTCTGTGCAAAGGAATTAAACCAAATGATATATTTGGAGGGTTTAAACATACATGATAAAACCCTTAAACTATTTGCATAAAGGGTTGGGCAGTGACTTTGGTTGCCTGGAGAGAGGAGGTAGTGGGCGGTGACTGGCAGGTGTCGCCTAAGTGAGCAGGGGCTGAGGGGAGGTGTAGCAGGAGCTTCTGGAGATCTAACAATTTTTTTTTTTTAAATCTTGGGTCCTAGATGTTACCTAAGTGCTCACTTCATATATACATGTTAAACTACATGTTTTTTATGTATGTGTGCTATGTTTCACAGCAAAATATTTTTTAAAAATTTAAGGAAGATACTTTCCTATAAAGGCAAAACTTAGCTACTTTGGAATTTGGCCTCCTTTCCTAAAGAAATGGACTATATCCAGACGTGAGAGAGACCGTTTTCAATTCCAAGTTGCCTGGAACATACCTTTGTGCAGGGCTATTCCTTAGTATTTCATTAATTTGACTATTTAGTAGATGTTCACTGATCATATGCAGGGCCAGGTCTTGGGGATGAAAAACCAGCAAGCACACCCTTTGAGTGAAGAAAGATCAAAAGCATAGCACTTACAGACAGCTTGGTAAGTGCCGGGGGGGGGGGGCGGCTGGGCATCTTGGCAGCAGTAGATGCATCAGTCCTGATAAGGGCAGCTAGAGGCCCCACTGCTCTGTCTGTGTGCAAACCAGCATCCGGTTTACCTTTGCAGTGCTGGAGGCTATCTAATGTGAGCCTAATTTAACTAATTCAAGTGAACGTGTTAAAAAGGCAGTCTGCTGTAAGAATTTACATTTGCGAGCAATGTGAACCCATAAGAAACCCATCCAGAAAGGCTCACACAAGTCTTTATAGCAGTTAAAACAGTACTTCTAAAATTTAAATTATTCCTCACTATGTATTAAACATATGCCTGGTCTGCCTATGCACACAGAGATCGCCTCTTTTTTGCGGGGAGGGAGTATGTTTTTTCACTTCCAAATCTTGCGACATAATGGCAGTTTTCCATATTACATTAGCTACAAGATAATAGATAATAACTCCACACCCCATCTAGCATGCCTCCTGTGTACGTTAGGTTTAGAAAAAGCAAGCCCACATGTCTCAGACTTTTTTTCAGCCTGCCTCCTATCAACCAGACGTCACATGTCTCAGACTTTTTTTCAGCCTGCCTCCTATCAACCAGACATCAGTAAGCATAGGCACGAGCGGGCGGGGGGGTGGGGGTGGGTGGGTAGTGCGGGGCGGTGTCCACACATGCGCAGCACAGCGGCGGGGGGACGTCGCATCCGCTACAGGGGTAGGTTTTTGGGCGACAGTTACTTGGTAGTGAGTTCTAAGGAGACAGTGCGACAGCTGCTTCCCCAGTGCTGACAAGCTTGTAAGCATCCTTTTGCTGGATCACATTTCTTTTTGCTTAGACCAATTGTAGTAGTTCCTATTTTGCAACTGGATTGTAAAAGATATTCTTTTTGTTTTTGAATTGATTTCTTCCATTTATGTTTTCTAGACTGCAGATTAGCTCCCAAAAGTGACCATCCTCTTTTGTATGAATGTAGGCAGTTGTTTGAAAACCATGCTTTTTAGTTGCCTGACGTTTTATGTTTGAAAGGAGTCTCTTTAAGTGTTCTTACTTTTCATTAAAGCTGTTGTCTCCTCTGACCATTCTGTTTTCCAGGAACCCTCACTGAGTGTTCTGCTTTGTCTTCTTCCTGCAGTTGCTTGTTTCCCCCAAGGCATGGTGTGCTGTGATTTTCTCAGCCTGCTCACTCTCTGCTCTAGCCGACCTGCAATTTATAACAGTTGTTACCTGGGAAATCTCCTCTGCTCGCTCTTGGTCCCAGGTGTTAAGCATAGCTGGTGTGTGCAGTTGCCTCAAGGTTCTGTCTGGCCTGGGAGACTTCACACCCCCTCCTGAGACCCCATGTCTTCAGGGTGCTGCTGTCCCGCAAGGGTTTGGCCGGCTCTGGCAAGCTGGTTCTGTCTGGTGTTTTCCTCAGGAAAGTTACGTGGAGATTATCACAGATATTTCATGCCTCTTCCCCAGCTGCGAGCATCTAACACCATCTCTGAAAAATATCAGACAAGAAATGGGGTGATAAGAAGCCCGCTTTCAATGAAGACTAGATTCACCTGCAGGCACCCGGAACCTAACTAGAGTGTTTTACTCTGGGCTTGGGCTCTTAGTTTTATAATTGAGAGTCTGCCAGAGATAGGCAACTAAAGTGTCTTCCACAAGCCTCCTTAGGAAGGACAGGAAGCAGCTGAGGAACTTAACTATTATAATTTTCAGCTACTTGGGCCATTAACTGTAGGATCCTTAAATACCTCCCTTTTACCTGGTGAGTCTTATCCCAGACTGTTCCCACATCCCTAGCTGCTGTCCTCTCCTAGATCTTTCTACACATTTGCTTTCCTTTTTTTTTTTGAAGAGATGTATTTGTTGACAGGGAATTCCCACAGAGGGAAAACACTCCACAAAAATTATTCTGATACATGAGGTAGAGAGAATTAGGAGATTTTTTAACCATTACGATATCTCAGCACCAACCAATGAATTGGGATGACTGAAGAATGGGTGGAAGGCTTATTCCTGCTTCTTACTCTGCCTCCCTGATTCCTTTGAGTAATGGAGCCTGAGAATTTCAGCTGAGCAAGTTCTTCCCCACCAACAGATATCCTCCCCACCTGGTCTTACTGTTAACTATGGCTGAGGGCTGTGATAGTTCTGGCCTCTCATTTAAGTGGAAGTAGTGTATACAAGCTCCGGTCCTACTTTTTCTTTTTTTTTAAAGAAGTGCTTGACTTTACTTTCTCCTTCCTCCTTGTACTGAGATAGAGAAAGGGAAGGTGTGGAAAGGAAGACAACGTCAGGTAGTGGTAGGACATGGTAGAAGAGCCTGAGTCCTCCTGTGGCCTGGTAGAACAGATTCCTCCCTTAGCGAATCTAACTCGGAAGGTCCGTGAATTTTGTTCTGTTAAGCCCTAAATAGCAATAATTTTAGGCTGGGGTTTTTTTGTGTGTGCATGAACAACTGTTTAAATATGTAAAAGTAGTTCTTTCCTTGAGGACCACATGAAAACTGGCTAGGCTCAAAGCTATAGTTTTCCAACTTCTGCTCTGGATTGTGGAGCGAGAGAGAGCACTAATTTTAAGATACTTTTATACAACAATCCGGTGTGGCAAATATCCATTTAATGATTTAAAAGAAGAATATTCTAGATAGTGTTCTGTGCAGAGAAGACGTGGCTATTCATGCACATAACATACAAGGATCCCGGCCTCTGGGGTTGACCTTGACTGCACTGCGCAGCATGATATCACTGTTAGACATTGAAAGTTCATGTAATGGCTACACCTTTAAGGTAGATGGCAATAAATCACCTTGTTCTAAAAACCTTAAAGATAGGACACATTTTGAGCATGTGGAAATAAGTGTGTTCTGGGAGCGAGTTTTCCAAGTTGAGCAATGGTACCCGTGTCCAATAAAAGCCATCCTGGTGGCTAACCCTTTGAGCTCCATTACCTAGGTTAAATTAGTCCCTACTATGTAAAGTCAGTTCAAAAATAATGGCTTCCTTCCCTTAAATATATTATGTGAATCCAGGAAACTCTAGCTTCATGTAATTTTCAGTTCAAAATTCCAAATTTTAAGCACTGTCTTTTCTGACATAAGTGCTTTTCGAAAGAGTAATAAAAATGCAGTTACTTAAATTGAAAGATTTGGACAAGATAGTGTATTAAGAGTTTCTCTAGGACTAGTAACCCATTATTCTATGAATAATGGAAATATGTCACCAGAATTTCACTTGAGATTTTCTTACCTGTTCTCTGGGGTCCAAGTGGTGGCAGTGGCAGTCATGGCAGGGCACTGTTGGGCACCGACTTTTGTCATTGACACTGAGAGGATAGGAGACCACATTGCTGTGCTTAGCTACCCCAGTTCCTGCACCTGATGGACAGAAATACAATGGAAGCTGAGTATAAACACATGAAGGCTGCCCGGTCTGGATCCAGTCGATACGGCTATCCTGTTGGACATCGTGACACCCTTGACCAGCTTTGTCTTTGAGAGGTAATTTTTACCTTATGAATTGCAGCTCTGACTCTTGATTCCAGTGATCCATTTCTCTACCTCCTTCCTAGCCAGGGTGCAGGTGACTCAGGTGTGGCCCGGTAGCGCTACGGGTCCCAGATTGAACTGGGAGTCAGTAATGAAAATCCCCTCGCCTCCCTGTGTCCCTTTGATGCTGCTGGGTGGAGCTTGCCTTCCCATTCCTTGGCGGAGTGGAAGAAGTTTGGGGGGGTCAGAGTCTGTGTATGAGCTGCAGGGTCTGGATCTCATGAAGGAAGAAGCAGCAAATTGTGAGGTATGAATTTTGGACACTGTTTGGGCTGTGGAGCCTCAAAATCTTCGTATCTGTCCATTCAGGAATTGTATACTTTCCCTACTGACCTCTGGCAAATGTCTTTTCTGATTGAAATAGTGGAGTTGTTGCTGTATGCAGCTGAGTTCTGGCATGTGCTGGAAACTGAGTTTCCTCTCCCTCAACATGACATGAATGTTGGCAAAGAGAACAAATGATTATGGACACTGCAATTTCCCTACTTCTGACGTATTTACTTTAAACATCTCCCTGTTTTAAAGTAGACATATCTATTTTATATTCTTATGAGGGGGCACAGAAAAATCTCCAGAAGGGGCCTGAGATTCCAAGTCCTTTCATAACGAAGATTTTCCCCTAAACCAGGAGCAGTGGTACACACCTGTAATCCCAGCACTCTGGGAGGCTGAGGCAGGGGGATCTTGAGTTCATTGCCAGCCTGGGCAACTTAGAAACTTAGCAAGACCATGCTTCAAAATTAAAAACAAAAATGGATGGCAGTGTAGCTCAGTGTAAAGATCTAAATGACCAGTTGTGTGGATTGAGAACAATTACATCTGTAATCCCTTGTTTAGAGTGTTTTTATTTATCATTGTTGTTTACTTGCTATTTTGATATTCACTTTTCAGTAAATAGGTCAGGAAACATTTCTTTTGTATCCCAAATAAAGCAAAGATTGTAATGGATTTCTTTCTTAGCCCCTCAATTCCTACTTAGGCAAAATACCACCCAGTTCAGTGGTGGCGAACCTATGACACGTGTGCCGCAGCAGGCTGTTTGTATCATTGAAAGCTCTGAAACATTCATTGTCACTGACCTAGGGAGTGAACACTTCCGTGGTTTCTGGAAGTTGGTCCCATAGTCTCTGCAGGAGTTGGCTAAGGGGATGGGTGGGAAAGAGCCAACTGCCCCCATCACTGTGTGAGCAACAACAGTTTGATAGCTCATTTGAATAATTAAAGATTCTTACCTCAGGCAGAAGGCAGGAAAAAAGTATAGTTAATATTTAGCAATTGGGCAGGGCCTTTGATAAAGAATAATGTACATATGAAAGCTGGCTGTTCTCTAATTTCTTGTTGTCCTTAAATGTTTCCTACTACAGTAAAAAGTACAATCTAACTTTAGAGGAGAGATAGCCCCTAAGATACACACACATCTTGTGTTCGCAAATGCCAATTCAGTGCTCATGTGATTCAGGAGAAGCTCGTGACTAGTTCTGATTAGCCTAGACCAGTGGTCTCACATTGGCAAGATTAATCAGATCCACCTGGAGATTTTGTTGAGCCACAGGCCTCTCACCTTAGAGTATCTGATTAACAGTAATTTATATTTCTAAATATTATACTTTCCATATGATGCAGATGCTACTAGGGAGGGGGTTGTGTTGATGTAAGTTGATTCCAGGAAGAGAGGTTTACACCCATCCAAATGCAGCATTTTCCTGGCATGGATAATGGGGCTAGGCATGCACTTTGGGCCACATTCCTAGTCTGACTGAGGAGGTTACTACACTATAACTGAAGGAAGCCAGCCACACACTTGCTGGACCATATTTGCAAACATTTGGCTCCAAATGCTGTTGGAAGCCATCTGTCACCAGAAGGAATCCCACTTTGGAGTGACTGCAGTGATTCAAATGTCAGGACAAGCAAACTTGCCCTACCTGAGGATTCCCATTAAGTGAGGTGATAAATATTCATATTATGAAACACATCTGATCTGAGATTTCTTTCCTGATGCTTAAGGACACTACTACTGATTCAAATAAACCTCAGCCTGGAGATATGTACCTGTATATTCAGCCCAATAAAAACAATGTGAAGGAATTTGAAGAGTGGGAATTCCAGAGAGATGATTGGGTGCTTAATCAGGGCCACTACATACACCTGTGTGCCGAGCTAAGGTGTTAGAACTTTGGTTCACGTAGATAAAGCCAAGAAAAGCTGCTAACTCTGGTAGTAATGGATTGAAGAAGACAGACAGGTACATGGGAAAATTCACCAGAGGCTGTTGAAATAATCCAGGTTGATGTTTCAAGAGTATGAAGTAGGGCAGCAACCTTGCGACTGGAGAGGAAAACTCATGGAAGTGAGGAGGAAGACTCTAAAGGGTTATTGGGCTGCAGGTGCAGGGAGATCCAGGAGCCTCTGGCTAGCCTGTGGGTTAATAGGTGTGCCCAGTGCCTGGATAGGAAGGGATGGAAACAAAAGTCTCAGTCACCCTTGCCCCTCCTTGTGTGGCACGTTGTCCAGTCTTGCACTGAGTCTCCTGCATGTCAGCCCTTCTTCCCTCCCTGCAGCTGCCGCTCATCTGATCGGAGCTTCCGCCATCACCCATTCTTGGTTTCCTTTCCTCTACCCCAATCATGCTTCCAAACTGTTCTGCAGATTTTCTTTTTCAAATAAAATTTTATCCCAGTCACTTTCTGCTTAGAACAATTCAGAGGATTTCCATGGTTCTCAGAAAAAAACAAAGGGTTTGGGGGCACTTTCGCCCAGCCCTTTGCAGAATCCTTGTACACAGTACGTTTTCCATTTGCCTGGTGAGCTCTGACTCATCCCTTATATCTGGTTAAAGGATGACTTCCTTAGGCCTCGTGATCCCCAAATTCAGAGCAAACTCTTTTACTTGTCTTATGTTCTTATTTTCTTATGTTCTTTCCATTGTGTTTATTTGATTTGGGTGCCTCCCTCACTTGGCTTCCAACTTCTTGAGAGAAAAGTCTGTCTGATTCTGTTCACCCTACACCGATGATGGTGAACCTTTTAGAGCTTTCAATGATGGCAAACAGCCCACTGGGGCATGAATACCTAAGGTTTGCCCCCACTGGCCTATTTTCATTTTGAGCAGTGTGCCTGAGATATAGGCGTGCTTCAATATGTATTTGTTGAAGAAAAGAACAAATTTATTTTAATGGCAAGCTCATGAGTTTTCTCTCGGATGTTATTTGCAGAGTGCCTATTAACCAGTTTTTACAAGAGGGCAGGTTCAAAATTTCGAAAGTGAGTAAAAATGTTGACCCTGAATGTTTGAAATTGGGCTTCATACATTTGCTCACAAATAGTCACCAGAGATATCTTACTGTGCTAGTGAGATATTTTTTAATTGAGGCAATGGAAATGTGAAAATTAATAGAATATTTTAACAAAAGAACATGCTTATACATTGGCAGAGATTTCACACTTCTGCAATTTAAAGGAAAAGTTCAAACATTATAATTTTGCCACTGACATGATTCAAATATCAAAAAGGAAGAGTTATGGTTCAAAAGAATTGTACAAATGATTGTGAAATGTGATTAGTCAAACCATAAAAATAAAAGAATTAGTATTCTCCTCTGATTAGAAGTTATGAATGAATTATGGGAACATCTTCAAATGAATTAATTTATTCTATTTAATTAAGTTATAAAATGGTTTTGAAAAGTCACTGAGTTGCCAAGACATTAAAAATAAATCCAGCAACTGTACCTTAGACAAAGGTCTATTATCTAGAATATAAAAAGAACTGAAAAAAATCAGACCCCCCAAATTGAAAGACCCAATTCAAAAATGGGCATCTGAAATGAACGGACATTTCTCAGACAAAGAAGTAAAAACAGCAAACAAATATATGAAAAAATGTTCAACATCACTGGTCATTCGAGAGATGCAGATGAAAACAACACTGAGATTCCACCTCACCCCAGAAAGAGTGGCTGCTATCAAGAAATCAACCAATAACAAATGCTGGTGGGGGGTGTGGGGAGAAAGGAACCCTTCTCCATTGTTGGTGGGAGTGCAGACTGGTGCAATCACTATGGAAATCAGTGTGGAGATACCTCAAAGAACTAGAGTTAGAGATCCCATTTGATCCAGCTATCCCCCTGCTGGGTATCTTCCCAAAAGAATTAAAAGAATCATACCACAGTGATATATGTGCAACTATGTTTATAGCTGCACAGTTTGTAATAGCTAAAGCTTGGAAACAGCCCAAGTGCCCATCAACTGGAAACTGGATAAAGAAGATGTGGTTTTTAAAAAATAAAATGGAGTACTACTCAGCCATAAAGAACGAGAAACTAGAGTCGTTTATAGCTAAATGGATGCATATTGAGGCCATCCTCTTAAATGAAATAAATAGGACATATGTGTAAATACCGAGTAGTTTCTCTAGTGTGAGAAACTGAAAGTGTAATTAAGGATTAAAATGATTAAAACAAATAATGGATAATTTGAAATAGGAAGAAAAGGTTCAAAGGGGTAGAGGTGGCAGGAGGGGAAGGGGAGAGATCAGAGCTACAGGCTGGAATCTGGAAAGAATCCATATATAGATTGTGTTTAAAACTGTAGGAAGAGCTGTAGATAGAGACTAGGCTGGAGCTCATCAGTGGGTTGGGAAGGAAGAGTCACTGAGATCAAAGGAGAGAAGGGTGTGTTTCCAGAAGAAGCACATACAACTTTGTACAGTACACAGTACTGTATAGTGTGATAAATGACTGTTACTGCTTTATGCTGTGCTTTTCATCCTTTAGAGCATAATCCTACTTACATAAAAGAGTCTACTGTGAAACAGTGTGCTGCTATGCCAGTAGTAGCCTTATGTATCTTACGTTTAACTGCGTATTTGGATAATATCAAGGGGCCATCACAGGTGATTGATGGATACCTTTTCATTTTGCACTTAGAAGTTGGCACTCTGTGTGGCACTTCGCGATACACACGGATGAAATTGCCTAATAACATATTTCTCAGATTATGTTTTTATCACATGTCACATGACTGTATTGAAATTTAGATTTAAAAACTTTGGCCTACGTGGAGTCTACTAGCTAATTA